ACAGACTTTAGAGTCTACCACGAGACCCCCGAAACCCTAAACCCTTAACCCTAAACCCTAAACCCTAAACCCTAAACGAAACCCGAGACCCTAAACCCTAAACCCTAAACCCGAAACCCTAAACCCCAAACCCCAGAGCCTAAACCCTTGCTAGGCTTTTCAGGGCTTAGGGCCGCCCGGGCGTCATAGATTTTTGTGGCAGGGACGCCCAGGTTTCGTGATAGCGCTTGTGCTTTTGGGGTTTAGGGTTTAGGTTCAGCAGCTCTGATCTTGAAAATTTCTTGTCCAGCTATTTTCAAGAGAACACCCCACCCGCCCACAGCTTCCCTTCACATTAAGAAAAAGCCATTCACTTGTTCCAAACATAAGTCAATACACAACTTAATACGAAACACTCTGAAAAAACGATGATAATCAATACCTTAAGTGCGACTGAACCTTAACATCCGTTTGTCGCATCACACCCTATACTTGGCTATAACCAATGACGCCATCGCTTGGCGGCCACAGCTTCGACGCGACCAGACAAACCTGAAATCTCTGGTTCAATCGTGTGATACTGTTGATGGACAAAGTCTGCATGACCCAAATATGGTATAGCACCATAAATCCCATAGTTTAGGTATATAAGGTCATGCAGGATTTGGTCCATCAACCGTACCATAATATCCCACTGGAGATTCTATCCCCACGCCGCTATCGCCTGGCAGCCACAGCTTCCGCAAGAACCGCAAAGGCTAAACCCCGGGGGTTAAACCCTGAGCCCTAAACCGTCGGGCCTACACCCTCACCCCCAAACCGTAGAGTCCAAACCCTAAGGGCTGAACCCTGGGCGCTAAACCGTATAGGGCCTAAACCTGAGCCTAAACCTCAGAGCCTAAACCATAGAGCCTAAACCCTAAGGCCTAAACCCTGGGCTCTAAACCCTAGAGCCCTAAACCCTACAGCCCTAAACCCTAGGCCCTAAACGCTAGAGCCCTAAACCCCAGAGCCCTAAACTTTTCACCGTTTCGGAGCTGGAAATGGTGAAATTTATCCGATGGTTATGCATTTTCGGATTAGGGCCTGTTTTCCAAAATGTGGCCCCCAATAAAAAACACGAAAGAGAGGAGCCGACCCGAAAATGCAGAAAAATCGGTCTAAATTTCACCATTTCGGAGCATGAAAGCGGTCGAACATGTCGTTATTACCCCCCTCCTCCCCAGCCCCCCACCCCTCCCCCCTCAACCCCTCACCCAGCTTTCTAAACTTCTGCAACTTCTGAACAAGAAGACAACGGCAGGGGCAGAAGGGCTTATTTGGGTAGGTCGATTGTGACCGCGCCTAGGTTTAGGGTTTAGGGTTTAGGGCTAGTAAACCTGCCTCCCTCCCTAACCCTCAATCTTCTGGACCCTGAACCCGCGTAAACCCTGGTGAAAAAATATCAGGACCCGGCCGATATCGAAGGTGAAGAACTCGCAGCGATAGACCCAGACCTCCGGATTCAAGTGGTCTGTCAAAGGGGGTTGTAGGGTTGAGCGCTGAGGGAATAGGCGTGCAGGGTGTTGGGTTAAGAATAGGGTTCTTTGAAAAGTGCCATAAAGGTTTCATGGGGTGATATGATATGATATGATGGTATGACAGTATGACATAGGGGCCTTGGTAATTAGACTGGGCCTTTGCGGGAGTCGATCATAGTATAGCTGTATTCAGGAACAATAGGAAATAGGAAATGGCATTAGAACCCTAAACCCTAAACCCTAAACCCTAAACCCTAAACCCTAAACTATCATGAGTGTCAAGACTTACCGGCTTGGGTTGCATTGTGGGGTGGGGGGGGGGCTTCTGGTTGGAGTGTGCTTTTGTGTGCTATGTCATGTACCTTAAACCCTAAACCCTAAACCCTAAACCCTAAACCCTAAACCGTGCCTTAGCTTCGGTCTCAGGGCCCAAAACTTGAGACCAAACCAAAGCCCTCCCAAAAGCAAAATCCTGCGAACACAAAACTACAATCAAAAGGAGACGCTTTAGGGTTTAGGGTTTAGGGTTTAGGGTTTAGGGTTGATTCAACAGAAAACAACTAAGAATAGAACCCATCAAAAAAGCGCCCATGGGATTTTTCAGTTAAACGAAACTAAACCCATGAGTTTAGGATAAACAAACGACCCTACAGCCAGAAACTAAACACTAAACCCTAAACCCTAAAGCCCACAGCCTAAACCTTACACCCTAACCCTACACTCCTAAACCTTAAACCCTAAACCCTAAACCCTAACCCCTAAACTCGGGTTTAGGGTTCAGGGTTTAGGATTAGACTTTAGGGTTTGGGGTTTACGGTTTCGGGTTTAGAGTGTAGGGTTTAGGGTTACCTGAACCCTCAAGCCTTAAACCCTAAACTCTCAACCCTGACCGCACTTTATGCCCTAACCCCCAAATCCTCGACCCTAAACCCTATTCTCCCTATACCTTGGGTACTACTGCCTCGAAGCAGTGTCTGCCATAAGGCTACTACTAAGCGCCTTTTATGTCAAGATTTGTAAGTATGATTCAGCTGTTACCCATGTCTGGCAGTATCCGACGTCTACCCCAAAGGCACCTTAAACCCTAAACCCTAAAAAAAAAAAGAGGCACCTTGAGCCCCAGCTCCAGTGCGAAGAACATGGACAGCACGTGGTTCAAGACGAGAAGCTCCTCGGGGGTGGCTGACAAGGAGGGCTTAGGAACCCTGGGAGCCCTAAACTTAGGGTTTAGGGTTTAGGGTTTAGGGTTTAGGGTTTAGGGTTTAAACCCTAAACCCTAACCTAGGGGTTTAGGGTTCAGCTCAGGGTTTACTGTTTAGGCTTACGTTTCAGTGTACTTAAAGGATCATGGGACTTAGTAACTGAGGTTATAAACAAAGGTAACAATACTTACAACCCCAATTTGGGTACTTATAACCCTACTTACTAAGTCCCAAGATCCTCCAAGTAGGAGTCCTAAACCCTAAACCCTAAACCCTAAACCCTAAACCAGAAGCTCCCGTGGGTGGATGTGATTTAAGGGAGACTCCTTGATCATACTGTTCATGATAGAGATCCTGCATTACCTTCAGGACCCTAAACTATGGGAACGATGGTATATTCCTCATTATGGGTAATGCAGGATTTATATCATCAACCGTGGGGTATTGGGCTAGCTTAATGCTCAAGCTTTACGACTTCTGCATGTCTTTGTTGAATTGCCTTCAGCCTTCCCGGAGCTCCCAACACCTTCTGATTCTGAAAGGGCGTCATAAAGGATTGTATAAATTATATGGGGGTTATTACAAAAATAAAGTCTTTACATCATAGTAGAAAAACCTTCTGTAGTATAAGGTGTATTCTTTGGATAAGCGGTGCTGTAGAAGCCTTGACAGTTCGATGAGGGGTTCGCCCGATTTTTCAGGGGTTCTGCCTCTGGGGGATCAGGGTTTAGTACAGGGCTGAGTCCTGCGTCCACTGCGTTATGAAGCTGTCTGGGTACTTGGAGGGTCGGGCGACTTGGTAAGTAGGTACTTATAAGTACCCTGAAAGGCACTGGGATCCTAGTTGGGGCTGTGATACTTCATCAGTCTATAAAACTACTACTCACCAAGTCCCCTAAACCCTAAACCCTAAACCCTAAACCCTATGGGAAGGCTTTAGCTGCAACTCCCCACCAACCTCTCTTGGAATCCCAACGCCCCGGAACCCAGAAACGCTATGGAAACGAAACCCCTCGGCATAGGAGTCTTAGGGTTTAGGGTTTAGGGTTTAGGGTTTAGGGTTTAGGCGATGAGAAGCCTGTATAGGGCTTAGTTTGTAGAGGCCTTTATCAGTCTCAACAGGGTGTTAGGGTATAGGGTAAGTATCATTACATCTTTGTGAAAAGGCTCTCGCTGCTTGGAGGGTCGGGGGACTTAGCAAGTAATTATTCTGTAGGTTTATAAGTATCATAGCCCCAGCTGGAGTCCCTTATAGGTTACTTATAAGTCTACTTATTACCGACTTACCAAGTCCCCCGACCCTCCAAGTACTGATTGTTCAGACCTACATGTTCATGCCCGATGCCCTAAACCCCGAAGCCCTGGCAGCCCCAAAGTCCTAAAGACCTGGCCTACACTGGCAAGGCAAGAACTGAAGACTGCATATACATATACATATACATATACATATATATATATATATATCATACATACATACATACATACATACATACATACATACGTACGTACGTACATACATACATACATACATACATACATACATACATACA